CTTCACATGTCCAACTGCCACAGCAAGACATAGCACCTGGAAGGACACAAGAAAACACTCAAATTTATTAAAATTGACTAGGAATAGAAATTAGCAGAACAAGCAGCGGAAGAGGAACAGAGGAACGTAATCTGACAAGCCATCCTTAAAAGGTCATTAATATGATCTTTGTAAAATCGACCAATTGCAGCTCGGTATCAACACTGGATAATAAGGTCTTGCCTAACTCAGAAACAATACATTAGGATGGCCTGGTATTTGCCAGGTGTCCCTATTTAAGGAAATCAATCTCTCAAATTGGTATAGCTAGGACAGTGGTGGCGAACCTATGGCACGCATGCCAGAGGCGGCACTCAGAGCCCTCTCTGTGGGCACGTGCACCATTGCCCCAGTCCCGCCTTCCCCGCGGCCCCCTCACCAGCAGCCCCCCGTCATCCGCGGGCATGGAGCAGCGCAGCCAAGGACATGGCAGCTGGGCAGCAGGGACTGCCCTCATGCCCCATCATGCGCAGATGATGCTGCGGGGCGCGGGCGGAGGGTATGGCCACCATGGCACTGCAGAGCCGCCTGGGTGATCTGCTGTGGAGGTGATGGGTGACCTTGTGAGTGGGCAGGGTTGGGGCAGGGGCAGAATGAGCAGGGCAGGAGGCGGACCTGGGCAGGGCCAGAGCGGTTTTTGGGCACTCGGTTTCTAAAAGGTTCACCATCACTGAGCTAGGATGTACAATTTGCCACAAAACTGGATAGATGCAAATAGCTGAAGCCCTCAGGAATCATGTAAATATTTTTGTAATGAAGAACACAGTACTTTTCTTCTAATACAAAATATGGTTACCATTGTACAAATTAGAAAAGATAAATCAACTTTATGTGCTTTTATGTTCTTCCTACTTCACTGACACTGAAGAGAAAGCCCAATTCAGTAGATGCAATTTATTTTTATTTTATTCATTAAATTTATTATGGGGCCCATTCAGTGCAAAGTGACTCTTTCTCTAGATATTTGTGTAAATATTCTTTCCCTTTTCAGCAAGATAATTTTCTGTAGGCCTGTTTCTTTAGAGAATACTAGAAATTATTTTTTCCCAATAAAAAATATATACTGCCAAATTTAAGGAGTTGAAAAATACCTTTTTCATTTGAAACTTGATTGTGGATTTCACTTCATCTACTTTGCCCACCATGTTCTCATTGTGAGTGAGAAGAGAAGGGAATTTGCCAGCCTTGTTCAGTCCTGGCCCCAGGATTCGAGGAATTTGCTTGATCAGGGATTCAGAGGCCAGAAAAGCATCGTATTTCTTGGCTGTATAAAATAAAAAACAACACAATATTGAAAACACTCAAGACTCATCTCAAACAGGTATGCATGTTAACAATATGGAATGCAACAATCTAGACTTGTGTGAGCGCAATTAGTATTTATTGGGTTCATATCCCAAAACAATCAAGCATCTCTTAAGGGCTTAAAATTAACAAAACAATTTAAACATTTGTATAGCCTACCAACATAAATTCAAATAAATAAAACAATTTAACAATAATGCATTAATAGATTAGGCTGTCCAAATCAGGAAAGTATTTTCTAGTATAATTTGGTTTTAAATAGCTTCCTTAAGGCCAGTATCAGACTACTTACTGAAGCTACTAAAATAAGGACCAGGTGCTAAGACTGCTTGAATTAATAACATATATTTTTAGGAAAACCCCTTTCAGCATAACATAATTGGAAAGCAATTAGCAGCACAATTATTAGAGTACAAAGTTCTTTGAGATCAGGACTGCAAAACCACAATTTTAATATGCTTCCCCTTTTGCTATATCACCATTACATGGAGATCTATGGCTCCATCCCTTAATTGTTCAGTCCCAAGGACTCAGGTTATATGCCTCTGCTTTACATTCTTCATTTGCATTTTTTTGGGAAGGGGTAGGCGGGAATGAATGTACCAGATTGTTTTTCACTATTAAGCCACAAGAATGTTAAACCAAAGTGAATCTAACATGGTATGGAGAAGAAAGATTAGATTTTATCGGATGTTAAAATCTTGGATATTCTTTTTTAGTTTGCTTACCTAGTTTCTTCACTAGCTTTTTGTTCTTATTCAGTTTTTTAAGGGCCTCTATATCCATGTGTGGGATGTCAACGGCTTTGGCTTCATCACAATGCTGCTGATCTCCCAAGACACAGACAGAGAATTTAGGTCTCGGAGCCGACTTGAGCCTGGGAGAGCAAAGAGATCATCACAATAGCCACTTCCTATCAACAAAGTTATACAAAATGGCAAAAGAACATTCAAAACTGGTGCTGACAAATCTTACCAGGCAGCTAGCACGTCTCTGTGCACCAGGATCTACCTCTGGCTTCTTAAAAATGATCGGCAGGATTAGCAAAAGAGCCTCACCATGCCTCCCCTCATGTTTTAAGACCCAGGGTAGGGGTCCGTCCAGCCACACCCACTGCATAGTGTGAGGTGAACTGAACTACCCTGGCAATTCAGCATTGCACCCAGCTACCACAGATTTTACAAGCCAATAGGCTGTATGAATGTAAACCAAATTAGAAGACTTCTAACAGGGAGAAGGGTGCAAGCAGAAGGCTGGGTGGTACAAGAAGGATGCCAAACCTGACAGTGCCAGAAAAACGCTTGTCCTTTTGAGGGTCATAGTTTTTCAGACTGATCTGCAACTCCACAGTCTCCAGGAACCTATATAACAAAAACAGAATGCGTATTTGGGTAAAAATTGAGGACAACTGAATACAGGAGAAAGCAATCAGATGATCTTCAGAAGTTTTGAATTATAGCCTCTACACAGATTACATGCTTATAACTGTAGTTAATTGGACTTCAATCCAAAACATCTAGAGGCCAGTGAATACATGAAATGATAATTTCATTTAAGATGAACTTTACTTTCTAAAGGAAAGCATTTAGCACAAACATATCAGTACTGAGTAAATTACCCCTCTATGAATTTATTTATATCCCACCTTTTTTTTATAACTAGCTCAACATACCCACTACTCCTTCCTCCTGCTATATGCCCCACAACAACCCTGTGAGATGGGTAGAGCTGAAAGAGAATGACTGGCCAAGTCACCCAGCTGGTGTTTCATGCCTAAGGTGAGACTAGAACTCAAGTCTCTTAATTTCTAGCCTGATATCTTGGCCACTAGACAAAATTGGCTCTTAACATTTAATTACTCGCTTAATTGCTCCAAACAACCCGTTTTCATCATGCAAGCTTATAAAAACATTTCACTAAAAACTAATAAAAAACCAGCTTTCTGTTCAGTGGAGACTATTTTGTTCTCCTATAGGAAAACCAAGTGGGATGTCTGTAATGTTTACAATAATTTACAGCTGCAGTTGATTTTAATACTATCCAAGAGAGATGTAATTGAACTACTGTTCAATATTGTTACAGAGAACTTTCCAATATGAGCTGACAATGAGCCTCTTGGAGAATTAAGATCTCCAAGAGCCCTGATGGCCCAGTGGTTAGAACTGTGTTAGTACTGCAGGCTAATTCTGCTGACTGCTGGCTGCCAGCCAAGGTTGACTCAGCCTTCCATCCTTCCAAGGTTGGTAAAATGAGGACTCAAGATTCCTGGGGGCAATATGCCGATTCTGTAAAACTGCTTAGAGAGGGCTGTAAAGCAGTGTGAAGCGGTAGATAAGTCTAAGTCCTATCTACTGTTTTTCCAAAAGATTCAGGATTTCAGTGGCCTTGCTGATCTCAGCTCCTGCAAATCTGTCTTCATTCATATAAGTCACCCAAACACTCCAATTCATGATCAGACGCAGCTCCTTTTTCCTTCCAATTGCAGAGGAATTCTGTCTTAATGGTAGTCTCACTGTTGTTATTATACAAAAAGGCAGTGACGTGCACACTGCAGCTATAGCAAACTCTGGTGTTTAGTTTACTCAAATTAACTTTATTCAATAGGTCTTTTCTGAAGTTCTTACTTGCGGGTCTTTGCCTGACTCCCCTGAAGGACTTCCTTCACAGCTTCGTACAGTGTATCACGGGAGACTTTGCTGCTGTGGAAAAACACAACGTCCCAATTTAAACCCATACAGACTTTCAGATTCGTTGTCAAGTGTGTTTCTGGAGTTCGAAGAGGAGCAACCCCACCCACCCAATATGCTATTTACACAGGGGCGTCCCTTGATATGGCTCTCCCGTGTTCATTCATATTGGAAAAAGGGGTAGTGACATTAGGGTTGCCAGGTCTGCTTCCCAAAAAATAGCGGACAAGCGGGGGGGGGGGGG